ACAAGCTAACCCTAATTATAGGATTTATCAAAAAGGAAAGTCTTAAGCCCAGTCTTAAAACTGGACAATGTGTCAGCCTCATGGACAGAAACTGGAAGTTGGTTCCACAAGAGAGGAGTCTGATAACTGAAAGATCTTTCTCCCATTCTGCTTTTGGAAACTCTAGGAACCACAAGTAAACCTGCAGTCTGAGAGCAAAGTGCTCTGTTAGGAAAATATGGAACAATAAGATTTCTAATACAAGATGGAGCTAGGTTGTTGAGAGCTTTGCAGGTTAGAAGTAAGATTTTGAATTCGATTTTGAATTTGACAGGGAGCCCTTAAAAATTATGTGATTGTAGCTGTTTTGGTTCAAACCTTGTAAATGATGTCACCATGCAAAATTTTCAAAGATCCTGTAAATGTGTAGTTGCTAAATGCATGTGTTGAGGACAAGTCTCAGCTACTACCACCTAAACTTTAGCTCATTGTCTTGAAATTTGAGTTTCATGGTCAACTTTGTGTTAGCTAATGATGATTAGTTATGGTGGCCATCTTGTAATAGGTTAGCTCTAAAAGTCAATCAGTTGTAAAAGTACATCCAGTGGTTACAACCTGATTACAATCTGTTCAGTGGTTTATGACATATTTTGCTAACAAACAAGCAGGGTTTATGCCAATAGTGATATTGTTCAAAAACAGGTCTGGAGTGATCTGTTAGTGCTTAGCACATATGTTATGAATGACTCTCAGCTACTAAAACACCAAATGTTAGTTGCATCAGGTTAGTTTAATATACATACAATTGGCTGATGTTTTGTGTTTGGTAAGCTTTCTTTGCTGTGAGGGCCATCTTGAATTGGGTTTGACTTTAGAAGTTAATACTTGTAGATGTACATCCATTGGTTACTGTTGGAGAGTTTCATTAAAATTTGCTTTGTGGTTTAGGAGATAGTTTGCGAACACTACGGACAAATTAATCCACAGCCCACACGTTATAGTCTCAGCTTTCTGAGGGGGGCAATAATAAAGAACATGATGTAGGTACAAAATTAAAGAACAATAACCACCTAGACTTCGATTAAGAAACATCAGCAAAATACATGAAACTACTGTGTAACTGTTTGACTGACAATAGTTTTTTTGTTGTTGTTATTTTATGTTTGTATTGTGATGATTGATATAATTGCTGCTTTGTAGATCCACTTCAAGCTGATTGTTAATGTCTGATTTATGCAGCATCGACCATCTGCTTCGACCGGCTGGGGTTTGAGAGGACAGGAAGGAAAAACAAACAAACATAGAATGGCAGGTCCAGGTGTACTTTCTAAAAAGAATATAAATAATTACACATACAAACAGGCAGAGTAGAGCAAGTAAAGGCAGCAGCAAGGAAGGAAATGTGGTCAATTTGTTCTCCAGCAGTCTAAGCCTATAGCAGCATAACTAAGGAAACCCATGCTGACCCTAACTATAGGATTTATCAAAAAGGAAAGACAAGTCTAATCTTAAATGTAGACAAGGTGTCAGCTTCACGGAAAGAAACTGGAAGTTGCTTCCATAATAGAGGAGCCTGATAACTGAAAGCTTTGCCTCTCATTCTGCTTTAGGAAACTCTAGAAATCACAAGTAAACCTGCAGTCTGAGAGCAAAGTACTCTGTTAGGAAAATATGGAACAATAAGGTTTGTAATATAAGATGGAGCTAGGTTGTTGAGAGCGTTGTAGGTTAGAAGTAAGATTTTGAATTGTATTCTGAATTTGACAGGGAGCCAATGGAGAGAAGTTAAAACTGGATATATATGATCTTTTCTACCAACTTTCATTAAAACTATGGCAGCAGCATTTTGGATCAACTGAATACTTTTTAAATACATTTTTGGACACCCAGGTAATAAACAATTGCAATAGTCCAGCCTAAACATGATAAAGGCATAGACCAGTTTTTCTGCAGTATTTTTGGACAAGATGTTTTTCCACTTCAGTGATATTACGCAGGTGGAAGAAAGCCCTTCTGGTAACTTTTTTAATGTGGGGGTTAAAAGACATATCCTGATTAAAAAAATAACACCAAGATTTTACATTAGAACTGGAGGCCAAATTAATGCCATCCAGAAGAAGTGAAAGGCTGCAACGTTGTTTTCCTAAGATGCTCAGGTCCAAAAACCACAACCTCTGTCTTGTCTGACTTTAAAGGCAGAGTATGAAGTGTCAGGTGTCCAGGTTTTTATGTATTTAAGGCATTATTGTAACTTCTGTAACTGATCGGATTCATTGGGTTTCATGGACAAATATAAATATATATATATATAAATATAACTGTGTATCATCAACAATGAAAATTTATCCCATGCTGTTTAACAAATTTACCTAATGGAAGCATATATAAAGTAAAGAGCATTTGTCCAAGCATTGAACCCTGAGGAACCCCATGACTAACTTTGGTGTATGAAAATTATCCATTATTTATTTTTACAAACTGGAACCTAATCAAATAAATATGATTAAAACCATTTTAGAGCCATTCTTGTAATCCCAATATCATATTCAAGCCTCTGTAGTAGAATGTTGTGATCAACTGTATCATATGCAGCACTGAGGTCTGCAAAACACTGACTAATAAATTAGAGGCCTAGCAGTCCTAGTAAGGAAGGCATATCATTCACTGCCTTTTGTGCTACTGTTTAAACTACAATACTTTTACAATGAGAAGGCACAGAATTTTAGACATTTTGTTCAAACATTGAGGATAACTTTTTAGGGAATTTTACATTATTTGTTTGTTTATGGAATATGTGTTGCGATTGGTGGTCAGCTATTACCATACTAAGTTTTTAGCTTGATTTTTTTCAAAACTCACTCAGTTATAGCCATTTTTGTGTAAGCTAAATTTGGCAATCATAAATTTTAAGCTTGGTTCATTCCAAAAATGAATCAGTTCTTACTCCCCCCACAAAGTTAAATGGAAAAGCAGGTTAAAAAATTTGGATGGATGGGTGACTATTAAGGATTGTGTTCTAAATGTTTCATTCAAATCCTGAAATGTTCAGTGATTTAAGAGATATTTTGCTAACAGTACAAACAAACACACCACACAGAAAAACTGGCAAATACATAGTTGCTCCACCTTAGGCTTTGCTTTTGAGCAATAAATACAGCATGGCAAAATTAAATAAAATAAAAAATAAATATAATAACATATAATTAAAAAGTCCTGTACTACTGTACTAAAAAATAATTAAATAAATACGTTACCAGTTGGTGTTTTAATTTTCCATACATTGTGTCATGTTAGTAACAAAAACCTGGTACCTTCCTGTTTGGAAGAACTATAACAAGAAAATCTAAAATTAAATGAATTAAAAAAAGGTCCCCCCCCCCCCCCCACACACACACACACACACAGCAAATCATAAATGGAGTTTGCATTTAAAAAGTTCATCGCATTGATGTGATGAAGACACATGTTTTCCTTTTGACACAGAAGACCTCGCTTCTTTTAGACTGGAGACATAATGATAGTTTTGCAGCGTTTCCCTTCCATCCCATGCTCACCTGCTAACACCTCTTCCCCTGGTCCTAATTCCTTTAAACATTTAAAACAGGGACCTTAATTATTAATTTCCTGCAGTCTGGAAGTCCTGAACCAGGCCTCGTGTGGCTCCCCCCTGCAGGGTTTGTCTGAGTGGACACATTTCTCGGTTGCTCATTAATTGATGACATCAGTAGGCAAAAGTACTCTCATTTTCCCCATCTTACTTTCTCTGCTGGTCCTGAATGTCACGAGGAGTTTTAGGTGGGAAGTCTCGCTGACACCATTCAGACGATGCCTTCACGCCACTGCGGGCCCCTCAAAGGAAATGTTAGACAAGTCAGCAGTAAGTGAACTATGTAATCATTGTTTAAAAGCTTTCTGTCTCTGCCCTGGTATAGTTTCTAGGCTGGGCCTTGTAGTCTGGGTGGTTACTGAAGCTACTTTATTCATAAAACTGTCATAAAACTGCTTTTTTGCCTATTGCCAAAAGGTGAAGGTAGATAAACATGTTTTTTTTCTGTTTGCGTCCCTCTACTACCAAAATATTCCATAAACCACTGAACAAAATCTAATGAAATTTCAAAAAATGAATATTTTGGCTTTAAATCTACAACTGATTAACTCCTCAAGTAATTCAAGATTGCTGCCACTAGCAATTGACCTTGTGATCCTCAGATAAATAATGTTAACTTACTTTTTATATATATGGATGTTTCTTTACAGTGCCCTGAGATAAC